AGCAGACAAGTCTTTGAGACCTGCATAGCCATTCTTGAGGTACTCACTGTGAAGGTGAGTAATTCTACATGGCTCTTGAGAACATCCCTCTCTTAAGGACATGTCGAAGATTTACTAACCTGAACCCTAAATAAAGCCTTCTGGAGAACAGTAACTAGAAGACAAGTGAAGTTCTACTGTTTTCTGTCGTTTAGTTAAGTATTTATTGAGCTGCTGCTTCGTGTAGATACCACTAAGCTGTGCAATTACTGGTGCATGATATACTCAACAAATTAGTGTATAAATTAGTAAAAGAATGATGCCACCTTTGCAGTCATTTATTCACTGAGCACTTCTTGTTTACTAGACACAAAATATTCTAAGTGCTAAGAATATAACGGTGAGCTATACAGAAATCATCCCTGCTCTCATGGAGTGTGTATATTAGTGAGAGAGACATTGCAACAAAAATATATTAATATACAATTACAAATTGGGTTAGTTTTGTGAAGAAAACTAACAGCTGCTATGATATACTGTAGGAGTGAGATCAGTTTAGATTGTGTGTTCTGGGAAGGATTTTCAGTCTAAGAACTGAAGGATATGTAGGAATTAGCCAGGTCAGAATTGGAGCACTGGGGAAGACAAAATCATGAAGTTTCTCAGTTTGGGAGTGGGAGGGCTGGAAGTGGGTTGGTATCCTTGGGGATCTGAAATAAGGCCAGTGGGTGGCTAGAATGTAGAGAGGGAGGAGTAGAGTTGTACAAAATGAAGTGGAGTGTTTGGGAGGGCTTCCAGAAGATAACTGTAATACAGGTTCCAAAACTCTCAAGTTTCATTACTCTTAATTTAGGGAATAAAATAGAGATTGATTTGGAAAAAGTGAGAAAACATTGGTGAATTTGGAATAATTGGTTAATCTATGCTACATGGAAGTTGCTATTGTATTGTGGAAAAAATGTGGGCCTTGGAATCAACTAACTTCATCCCATCTTTGCTTCTTAATGGTGTGTGACCTTGGATAAGTTACTAAGCCTCTCTGAGTTTCTTTTCTTTCATTTGTAAAGTAGAGATAATAGTGCCCCTTTATTGTGAGAATGAAACTAAATATGTAAAATACTTAGCAAAGGGCCTAGCTTATACTAAGTGGTCAGTAAACTACGTGGTGCTATTACTCTTACTACTATTTCTCTTCTTTCTCCTCAAGGCAGATAGACATCTGCCAGACTATCTATAAAATATTCACTAGGTGAACCTGATGAACACAGCAAAAGCATGCACAAACTGGCATGCCTATAATGACTTTAGACTATTTTATGGGTAGTCCTCAGTGAAGTGGTGGGAGTATTTCAATCTGTCCCATGATTGTTGAAAAAGCAGAATTTTTTCCATCACAAACATAAATGGAACTGTATGTACTTTGGGAAAACTAGCTTTGCGTTTCAAATAAAGCATTACAAAGCTAAATTTACTATGAAAAGCCATAATGTTATAGAACACACTATAGCCTTTTCAGAGAGAATCTTGCAACTGTAGTAAAATAAAGACTTCCTGAAAATGCTCACATGCCATGTTAAAGACATAGGGTTTCCTTTATTTTACATACAATTGTCTAGTTACATTTAGCACAAGTAAGATAAACCATTTGGGATAAACTGTCATGTAGGTGTCTGTGGCTGACTCTGTTATTAATATGGAAATACAGTAAGACTCTGACACAATACAAAAAATGGATTCTAAAACCTTCAGTCGTATTAATGAAGGATAATCAAATAACTCCTAGCTAGCCAGTTGGGAGTTCCTAGGGTGTGGAAGCCAATTACCAATTGTCTTCAGGTTATTGAGGTTATTATGGGGTATATTTGAATGCTAATGACATGTCAAATAATTTTGATAATGACAGTGAAGATTTTTTTTGGAAAGAGAAAATCATTTGAGAAAGCATATTTTGGCCTTTGATTTAGATATTAAGTTGTAGAAAAAGGCAATATGCTATGGCTAAATTAATTTGACTATGATCCTTAAGAAGAGATACATTTTACTTTGTAAGCACTATATATACACATATAGAAAACTAAAACAAAAGTTTTATGAAACAATATGTATTCCAATACTTTCTGTTATATTTTACTTCAATTTCTGGAAAATGCTGTAGTTCACTAAACTAGTTTCATGACATAGTGGTTTACAACTTGCACTTTGAAAAACGTTGCCCTAAATGAGTGTGTATTAAGTGATGCTTCAGAAAGGAACAACCAGGCTACTCTAGAACCATAAGATCAGAACTATTTCACCACTAGTATATCCCATACCACTAGTAATAGATGACTAGTAGGTGCCAAGCCCATTTGGCAACCTGGGATGGTCTTTTAAAAGGGATTCATATATATATATATATGTGTCACATGTATATATTCACACACATATTTACTTGCTTACACACAAGCTCTCACAGGAAGGATACATAAGAAATTATTACTAACATGGATTGCCCAAGGGAAGGAGAACTAGGTATCTGGGCAAGAGTGATAAGACACTTTAAGTGCCGTATACCCTTTTATTTTTCATTCTTGTTAAATTTGAATCCTGTGAACTTATTTATTCTAAACATTAATAAATTCTGCTTCTATGTTATTCGAGAAAGAAAACAGTAAGGTGACCAGTATGGATCAGAGTTTTACAGTAAAGATTACTGTGTTGGCTGGGCGTGGTGACTTATACCTGTAATCCCACCACTTTGGGAGGCCAAGGCAGGCAGATCACTTGAGGTCAGGAGTTTGAGACCACCCTGGCCAACATGGTGAAACCCCGTCTCTACTAAAAATACAAAAATTAGCCAGGTGTGGTCGTGTGTGCCTGTAATCCCTGCTACTCAGGAGGCTGAGACAAGAGAATCACTTGAACCCAGGAGGCAGAGGTTGCAGTGAGCTGAGATTGTGCCACTGCACTAGAGCCTGGGCAACAGAGCAAGATTCCGTCTCAAAAAAAAAAAAAAAAAAAAAAATTACTGTGTAGTTTAGCAGAGTCCAGCATAGGAGTGGGGAATTACATCCTGCATGCTGTTTACTGCCCTTGATGTAGACCAGCTATATTGACAGTGCTATGCAATGATGTTTAGGTGACTCATTAAAAAGGGTTACTTTGTGTTTTGTGCTCTGCTTATTTATTATAGTGGGGTATATACTAGATTCTGGAAAGCTTTTTTTCCAATAGAATATGGTTAATTTTAATGTTTCAGTGCTTTTTTTTATTTTTAATTTCTAAATTTGTTATTTAGAAGTAATTTCAAACTTACAGAAAAGTTGTATGAGTAAGAAAAGTTCAAATAACACCTGTTCCCATAGTCACCTTTGGTCAACATTTTACCACATTTGTCTTCTCATTTTATCTACCTACCTACTTAACTATCTGATTTATTTTTTTTCCTGAACCCTTTCTTCATAACTGCTTCAAAGAGTATTTTCTAAAATTAGGGATATTATCTTACTTAACCACAGTACACGTGTCAGCCTCAGTAAATTTCTTGTTCATACCATACTTTATCTACTGTACTGCTAACTTTCTTTTTTTGTCAGTTGACCCAGGAATATGCTTTATATCATTTTTTTTATTGCTTTTTGGCACAGGATTTGGACTAGCATTAGGAATTGCATTTAGTTGTCATATCTCTTTAGCTGCTTTTTTTTTTTTGGGAGACAGAGTCTCTCTCTTGTCACCCAGGCTGGAGTGCAGTGGCGCAATCTCGGCTCTCTTCAACCTCCATCTCCTGGCTTCAAACGATTCTCCTGCCTCAGCCTCCTGAATAGCTGGGATTACAGGCATGCACCACCATACCCAGTTAATTTTTATATTTTTAGTCGAGACGGGGTTTCACCATGTTGACCAGGCTGGTCTCAAGCTCCTGACCTCAGGTGATCCGCCCACCTCGACCTCCCACAGTGCTGGGATTACAGGCCCCCACCGCGCCCAGCCTCTTTAGCTTCTTTTGATTGGCAACATTTCCACTTCCTTTATTTCTTTTTTACAACCCTGGAATTTTTAAAGAATACACTTTTTCCTTTTTAAAAATAGAATGTTGATCATTTTGGTGTTTTCTTATGATGAAATTCAAATTATGCATTCTCAGAATATTATATAGCTGATGTGTCTTTCTCAGGATATAACATCTGGAGACACAATATCCATCTAACATTAATGATGTTAGAGAGTACTTGGTGAAGGAGTTGTCTAGCTTCTACTGTATAATATTTTCCCCTTGCAACTAAGAAACAATCCATGGAAAGACATTTTAAAACCATGCAAATATACTAATCCATAAAAATTTCCCCCTAGATTTAACATCCATGATTGTCCTTGCCTGATCCAATCTTTACCATGTTGGTTGCAAATGCTGATTTTTCCATTGCTAGCACTACCTCTGCATTTACCAGTCAACACTCAGCATTCTGTTTTAAGCCATAGCCCTCAGTTCTACTTTTGCGTTTTTATATAAACTCATAAATTCCCACCTCCCATGGTTCATAATCAATTACTGTGTAAAGCAGAGGATTTGATTCTGGGGCATGTCATTGATGACTTCAAGAGGTCAGTGATCACCTTGAAATTGTGTGCAGTCTTCTGTGTTCTAGGGAGAGTGTTCCTTTCATCAGAATCTTGAAAGGGTTCTGGACTCAAAAGTGGGGAACATGTTGAAGGGTTAGACTTTAAGCTGTCTGTAATACTTATAATACATTTGTATATCCGTTCCCCTGCTTTTTACCCCTAGTGATAACTGAAATGTTAGAACCATATTGTATGTCCCTCTGTAGTACATTCTATTTTTTGTCATCTGTTTTTAAACCACAACTTAAAATAGTACTGTATTTTGGTTCCTTTAAATTTTTTCCTAGAATATATAATAAATGTTAAGATCTTCATTGCCACCGTAGTAGCAGTTTATGGTGTATGGAACCAGTCTTGTGAAGCGGTGAATTACCTTGATTTAATTTGAAATTTTAAAACCAATGTTTTTTACACTATAGTTTTATTAGCTCTCTGGGAGTGAGCTACATGATGTTGTGCACTGACAATTACCCAAATGTTCTCGCCTTCTCTTTCCTGGATGAGCTTCAGAAGGAGTTCATTACTACTTATAACATGATGAAGACAAATACTGCTGTCAGACCATACTGTTTCATTGAATTTGGTAAGGGCCTGATTTTTTTTTCCTTTTTATTCATCTCCATCCAATCATAAGTAATTTTAAATCTAATATTGGGTGGAGGGGGGACTTCAGCTATCTTGCTTTTGATAATTTGGTAAATGATCTATAAATTATGGTAACTTTTTACTTAGATGCTTATTAGAAAAAAAATTGTGTTTGAACTGTGAAGGGGATTTTGAGTATTGGTCCAAAGAATTAATGCCAGAGGATAACTTCTCAATGAGAAATTTGTAAGCCAGAGATTCAGACTTTTGTGTTTCTGTAATAATCTTTTATAGTCTGCTTCATGTAGAATAGGGGATGGCAAACATTTGCTGGAAAGGACCAGATAGTACATATTTTAGGCTTTAAGGATCATATAGTCCCTGTCACAACTATTCAGCCCTGCCATTGTAGCTCAAAAGCAGCCATAGGCAGTACGTAAATGAGTGCAGTTATATTCTAATAAAACTTTACAGAATAGTCAGCAGGCTAGATTTGGCCTGTGGTCAGTAGTTTGCTCAACTTCTGATGTAGAAGGAAAAAGTTGTAAATAGTAAAAATAAAATTCCACTTGGAAAATATTTAGGAAATGTCTTATATTAGTTTTATTCAATTTATTCTTTAAAACCTACATTCTAATGGTGTAAGCAATAACAAGAAAACAGATTTATAAAAACATGCAACTTCTAGTGTGTGTTCTTATGTAATTGCAGCTGGTAAATCTGACAGATTTAATATTTCATGAGATAGGAATCTGTATAAAAATCAAGACTTTGGGCGAGGTGTGGTAGCTCATGCCTTTTATCCCAGCACTTTGGGAGGCCGAGGCAGTAGGATCACTTAAGGCCAGGAGTTCGAGACCACCCTGGGCAACAGAGAGAGACTCTGTCTGTACAAAAAAAATAAATAAGCTGGGCATGGTGGCAGCCCCAGCTGCTTGGGAGACTGAGGCAGGAGAATCACTTGAGCACAGAAATTCAAGGTTACAGTGAGCTATGATTGGACCACTGCATCCCAGCCTAGGTGACAGAGCAAGACCCTATCTCAAAAAAAAAAAAAAAAAAATCAAGACTTTGGTTTAAAGTTAAAGCTCTTTTTCGTTTTTGCAATTTCTTGAAGTGGATGTAATACACTTAGGTAGTGTTAAATCCTTAGTTTATTTAAAATTACTGATTTCTAGAGGGTAAAACTGATGACTCCATGATATATTAATCATTAAACACAAGTAATATTGGAATACTTCATGACAAATTGAACAATTTTGAATAATAAACTACCTGTAATATTTACTATCCATAAGCATCATATTCTGAAACGATTAATTGACAAGTGACTGCAAGGAAATTTATGTTTTATTTTACATAGATAACTTCATTCAGAGGACCAAGCAACGATATAATAATCCCAGGTCTCTTTCAACCAAGATAAATCTTTCTGACATGCAGACGGAAATCAAGCTGAGACCTCCTTATCAAATTTCCATGTGCGAACTGGGGTCAGCCAATGGAGTCACATCAGCATTTTCTGTTGACTGTAAAGGTGCTGGTAAGATTTCTTCTGGTGAGTTCTGGATCTCAGTTATTTTATTTTTTAAAAATCCTTGGGAAGAACTGAGAAGCTCTTGAAAATGAATTACTTCATTCTAATATTTTAAATCAAGTACATGAGAGAATATAGAAGTTCAAAGCAATCCTTTTTCAGTGATTTATAAAGTAAGCTACCAGATATGTGACTAGTCAGGAAAATACTTTCAAATAAGCAACCTCAGAGGATCTCTTTGCTAGAAAAACATTTTTTTAAATTTAAAATTTTTAAAAGTTAATTTTCATGGGTACATATTCGGTGTGTAATATATTTATGGGGTACATGAGATATTTTGATACAGGCATGCAATGTGTAATAATCACATTAGGGTAAATGGGGTATTCATCACCTCAAGCATTTATTATTTCTTTGTGTTATAAACATGTCAGTTGTACTCTGTTATTTTAAAATGTACAATAAATTATAAGTTATTGTTGACTGTAGTCACCCTATTGTAGTATCAAGTACTAAATCTTATTCATCTTAGCTAACTGTATTATGTACCCATTAATCATCCCCCTTTCTCCCACCCCCACTACCCTTCCCATCCTCCGGTAACCAAAATTCTACTCTCTATCTCCACGAGTTCAGTTGTTTTAAACTTTAGCTCCCACAAATGAATGAGAATATGTAAACTTTTCCTTTCTGTGCCTAGTTTATTTAACTTAATAAAATGTCCTCCAGTTCATCCATGCTGTTGCAAATGACAGGATCTCATTCTTTTTTTGTGGCTGAATAATACTCTGTTGTGTATGTGTGCCACATTTTATGCATTTGTCTGGTGATGGGCACTAAGGTTGCTTCCAAGTCTTACCTGTTGGGAATAGACTGCAGTAAACATGAGAATGCAGATGTCTCTTCGATATGCTGATTTCCTTCCTTTTGGGTATGTACCTCGTAGTGGGATTGCTGGATTATATGATAGTTCTCTTTTTAGTTTTTGAGGAACCTCAAAACTACTACTGTTTTCCATAGTGGTTGTACTGATTTACATCCCCACCAACAGTGTTCCCTTTTTTCCACATCCTCACCAGCATTCATTATTGCCTGTCTTTTGGATAAAAGCCATTTTAACTGGGGTGAAATGATGTCTCGTTGTAGTTTTGTTTTGCATTTCTCTGATGATTGGTGATGTTGAGCACCTTTTCATATACCTGTTTACCATTTGTATGTCTCATTTTAGAAATGTCTGTTCAGCTCTTTTGCCCATTTTTTAATAGGCTTATTAGATTTTTTCATATAGAGTTGTTTGAGCCCATCATATATTCTGGTTATTAATCCCTTGTCAGATGGATATAGGGATTCACATTCCCTTGTCATTTTGCAAATATTTTCTATCATTCTGTGGGTTGTCTCTTCACTTTGTTGTTTCTTTTGCTGTGCAGAAGCTTTTTAACTCAATATAATGCAATTTGTCCACTTTTGCCTTGGAGGCCTGTGCTTGTGGAGTATTACTCAAGAGATGTCCTGGAGCGTTTCCCCAATGTTATCTTTAGTAGCTTCATAGTTTGAGGTCTGAGATTTAAGTCTAATACATTTGATTTGATCTTCATATATGACTAGGAAAACATTTAAGGTTTCTTTGTAAACATTTTTCTAGAAATGAAAAATAGGTTATTTGTACTGCTTATTTATAGGAATGTAAAGTGCTTTACATTTTGTCAAAATGGCTACATTTAAGGCCAGAGTGCTTGACTGTCACAGGTGTAAATACTTTAGTGATCATCTGCTCAAACCTTCCATCCCAAAGAAGGAATACTATCTTCAACAACTGTGAAAGGATATAAACTTTTGCTTAAAATGAACACCTCATTGTTTTATAAGGTAGCATATGACATTGTCAGACTGTATTTTTAAAAAAATTATTCCAACCTAAGCCTTTAGGGGAAAAGAAAATCTTCCTTACGTAATTGAGCTAAAGTCGGCTTCCCTATGTCTACCAGTTTGTTTTGTGATCTCTTTCTCCCTTCCTTCAGCAGAACCAGAAAAACAGTTAAGTCAGCAACTGTGTGTCCTTTCCATCCTCTTAGTCTAGTCTACTTCATATAAATATCTCCAGTTCACCAGTGAGAACACATGGACACAGGGAGGGGAACATCACACACAGGGGCCTGTCAAGGGGTCAGGAGCAAGGGGAGGGATAGCATTAGGAGAAATACCTAATGTAGATGATGGGTTGATGGGTGCAGCAAACCACCATGGCACATGTATACCTATGTAACAAACCTGCATGTTCTGCACATGTATTCCAGAACTTAAAGTATAATAAAAAAAGAAAAATGCAAGACAATATCAACTATAGAATACAAGACAAACACATTTATCATTGTGTATTGACAAAGGGCGAAATTTTCAATTAAACTGTAACAAACATGCACCTTTTTGAATCACGAGGTCAGGAGTTCAAGACCAGCCTGGTCAAGATGGTGAAACCCTGTCTACTAAAAATACAAAAATTAGCTGGGCGTGGTTGCAGGTGCCTGTAATCCCAGTTACTTGGGAGACTGAGGCAGAGAATTCCTTGAATCCAGGAGGTGGAGGGTGCAGTGAGCTGAGATCGCACCACTGTACTCCAGCCTGGGTGACAGAGCGAGACTCCATCTCAAAAAAAAAGAAAAAAAAAACAAATCTCCAGTTAACTTAGCCTTTTCCTTTATGGCATTTCAAGTTCTCCCCATCCTAAAAGCTTCCTCTAGACATGCTTTAGTTTGTTAATATTCTTTAAATTTGGACTGAATACAACACTTCACATACAAATGTGGGAGAAGAGGGTAACAAATTTTATAAAAATAATCCAGTCAGTTAGTAAACAAGCAGAAAACAATAACAAGCCCAGTTGGTCAGGGGTGGTAGGGGGAGGGTGGGCCAGTACCCAGATTGTTACAATATGTTACCTAAAATGTCCAATTTCCAGTAAGTTATAAGACATGAAAAGAAACAGGAAAATGTGGCCAAGCATAGTGGCTCACACCTATAATCCCAGCAGTTTGGGAGGCCGAGGTGGGTGGATCACCTGGGGTTGAAAGTTCAAGACCAGCCTGACCAACGTGGAGAAACACGTCTCTACTGAAAAAAAAAAAAAAATTAGCCAGGGATGGTGGTACATGTCTGTAATCCCAGCTACAGGAGAGGCTGAAGCAGGAGAATTGCTTGAACCCAGGAGGCGGAGGTTGCAGTAAGCCGAGATTACACCATTGCACTCTAGCCTGGGCAATGAGAGTGAAACTCCGTCTCAAAAAAAAAAAAAAAAAAAAAAAGGAAACAGGAAAATATGACCCATACACTGTGAGCCGGGGACGGGGACAGAATGTAGGTAACAGAAACTGCCTCTCAGAGCAGTCAGGTGTCAGATTTAACAAAGACTTCAAAGTAGCCATTATAATTGTATTCAAAAACTAAAGGAAACTATTACAGGAGTAAAGGGGGAGGTATGATAATGTTGCATCAAATAGACAATACCAATAAAGAGAAATTATTTTTTAAAAAGTGGAAATTCTGGAATTAAGTAAAATTACTAAAATGAAAAATTCATTAGAAGGGCTTAACAACAGATTTGAACTGGCAGAAGAGTTAGCAATTTGAAGATAGAGATTATTTAATCCGAAAAACAGAAAAAAGAATGAAGAAAAATGAACAGAACCTCAGAAAAATAGGGGGCATGCCACCATAGGTGTGACAGGATACTGAAGAAGAAGGGAGAGAAAAAGCAGAAAAAATATTTGAGGAAATAATGGCTGAAAAGTTCCCAGATTTACTGAAGAACATTAATCTGCTCTTCCAGGAAGCTCAGTGAACTCCAAATGGGATACACACAGGAGATCCACAAATAGATGAATCATAGTAAAATGCTGAAATCCAAAGACAAGAAGAAAATCTTGAAATCAGCAAGAGAAGAAGAACTTGTCACTTAATGAGTTTACCTGTATAACAAACCCGCACACATCTATCCCTGAACCTAAAATATAAGTTAAAAGAAAACCAAAACTCATCACTTACGTGAACCTCAATAAGATTAACAGCTGACTTCTTAGCAGAACCAATAGAGACTAGTAGGCAATGGAATGACATACAAAGTGCTGAAAGAAAAAAATAAAAACTACTAGTAACCAAGAATCTTATATCCAGCAAAGTTATCTTTTAAAATGAAGGCAAAAGAAAGACATTTACAGATAAATGAAAGATAAGATAATTTGTTCCTAGCAGAATCACCTTATAAGAAGTAATAGAGGAAATTCTTGGCTGGGCGTGGTGGCTTATGCCTGTAATCCCAGCACTTTGGGAGGCCGAGGCCGGCAGATCACAAGGTCAGGAGTTTGAGACCAGCCTTGCCAACATGGTGAAACCCCCGTCTATACTAAAAATACAAAAATTAACTGGGCGTGGTGCCATACACCTGTAATCCCAGCTACTCAGGAGGCTGAGGCAGGAGAATTGCTTGAACCTGGGAGGTGGAAGTTGCAGTGAGCTGAGATTGCACCACTGTGCTCCAGCCTGGGCAACAGAGCAAGACTTCATCTCAAAAACATAAAATAAAATAATAATAATAATAATGGAAATTCTTTAGGATGAAAACAAGTGACCCTAGAAAATGATTTGAATCCATTTGAAAAAAAGCAAAGAACAAAGGTAAGGATAATTAAGTAATTTAAAAAGACAGTAAAGGCCAGGTGTGGTGGCTCATGCCTGTAATCCTAGTACTTTGGGAGGCCAAAGTGGGAAGATCCCATGAGCCCAGGAGTTTGAGATTGCAGTGAGCTAGGCTGCCCTCCAGCCTGGGCAATAGAGCAAGACTCTGATGCGTAAAAATACATTAATACATTTTTTTTCTACTCTCTACTCTTAACTGATTTAAAAAGTGATCATATAAAACAGTGCATATATAATATCATTTAGGCCTATAACATATAGAAATGTAATATATTTTCCAATACAGCAAAAAGGACATGGGCGGTAGTTAAGTTGTACTGGGCTAAAGA